GCCATAACAAGGACAAGCCATTTGCAGGAGACAAGGACATAATCTTCATTTTAAGAAACACAATCAGTAGCACATGCAGCAATAATTCAAAGGTTTCTGGTTTTCAAAATAATCACAGTGGGGAAAAAAACACATTAAAACACTTTACTAGAGGGCTCCTCAGGAAAAACAGATGTTGTGACAGCTTGGCCCAGAAGGAGAAGTGAGTAATAACCATGGAAATAGTCCTTCCTCTCCCAAGAGTCACCACAGCTGGCAAAAGGGAACTGAGCTAGTCCAGGGGAATGGACTTTGTGCTGGTGTCTGTTGTTTAACCACAACAAAATAACCCCCTTCCCAAGCCTCTCCACGAGGAAAGGATTTCTTTATGCCTGACCCATGAAAAGGCATCGCTTTCTTCCGACAGATAAAATGATTTCAAATGTCAATCACCATGGGTTGTGTAGAAGTGTCACATTGGAACGAATGTGAAGCTGAATTCCCCTCTTTCTTCTCTTCCCCCCACACAGCAGTGATTGGGCCCCCTGAGGTGACGGTGAAGTCGGAGTCTGGGGCCCTGCACGTGGATTTCTCCGGCCCCTTTGCCGAGCACAAGCAGGAGAAGTGGCCTCTGTGGCAATACTATGGCCCCTGGAGCTACAGGATCCTGTACTGGAAGAAAGGCACAGACCTGACCTCCCCTTCCAGGGTACTGGGGCTTTGAGCTGGGCTTTTCCTGGTAAAACACCATCCTGGGGAGGCTCTGAAAGCTCCTGGAGGCCCTGGCACAGGTTGGGCAGAGAAGCTGTGGCTGCCCCTGGATCCCTGGAAGTGTCCCAGGCCAGGTTGGACGGGGCTTGGAGCACCCTGGGCTGGTGGAAGGTGTCCCTGCCCATGGCAGGGGTGGCACTGGGTGGGCTTTGAGGTCCCTCCCAACCCAAACCAGTTTGGGATTCTGGGATTCTAACAGGACTGAAGTAAAAATGGATCTCTGCTAATTACAGTGTAATCAAGCCCAGTCACTGCAACAATGACTCGGAGCACAGGGCAGGTGGCTGAGTAGTTAAACAGGATGGGTGGAATTTTCTGTTTCCAGAATTACAAAATCTGCTGCATTACGAGAGTTTATTCCCTCTTCAGGAAACTTTGGGCTTTGAATCCCCCCAAATGGGTGAGGCCTTTATTAACTGTGCCCACCTGCACTCTTCCATTTCTGCCTGTTTTAATTCACTTTCTGCCTCTCATGAATGGTTTCTTCCATGGGCAAATGTGTCACTCAGCCCAAAAGGCTTCTCCATACACAGTGCACGGAGAAAGATCATAAATAATATATTAATTATAGGATCACGTGTTCTATTACAGGAAAACAGGAAACCTTAGACCAGCAAACACCAGTCATAATCTAATCAGTGCCTTTCACATCAGCACAGGTTTCATAGGATGGGGCTCCAGTATGTATAATTCTGGTATGTAGTTGTCCTGCACAATTCTTTGGCGTTCAGTTCCAGAAAATGAGGAAACATCATTTCCCAAAAAGCAGACTTTTTTTTTTTTTGCAATTCCCAGGTTTGCAGTTCCCATCCTCCTAGAAAGGAAGGTATTTCTGCCCATGGGATGCAAACTCAGAGGGAGGTACCAGAGGAAGCAGGACCTGCAGTCAGGATCTGCACCTGTAACACTCCAGGGGGGAAATCTGAGTGATTTTCAAAGAAGCAAAAGGCAGAGGCTGTGTAACCTCACGATTTATCTTTGAAGTGTGTGATTGCTCAGAGATTGAAACCTGGCTGCAGAGTCTCCCCAGGCTGAGAAAGGATGTGTTACTACACAACAGGACATACTGTAGGGACTTCTTCCCCTGCAGTCACAGGAACACGACTAACTGTGCCTCTGAACAGCAACTTCTGCTGTCAGTCATCTCACAGCCTCCAGAAGCCTTTTTCTCTCTTTGTTTTTTTTTTTTTGTTTGCCTTTTTGTCTGGATCACAGAATCACAGAATGAGGAACGTTGGAAAAGCCCTCTGAGATCACCAAGTCCAACCCTTGACCCAGCACTGCTGTGCTCACCCCTACACCGTGTCCCCAGGTGCCACATCCACACGTTTTTGAGCACTTCTAGGGATGGTGACTCCACCATTCCCCTGGGCAGCCTGCGCCAGGCCTTGACAACTTTTTTGGTGAAGAGATTCTCCCTTCTTTAGTTTCTGATCTAAAGCTCCCCTGGCACAGCTTGGGGCCGTTTCCTCTTGTTCACCCACCCCACTTGCTGCCTCTCCAGTTAGATGATGTTTGTCTGTAGCAGTGCTCTCGGTTGATCTCATCTGCGTGGGGGACAGTTTCTGTCTGCAAACATATCTCATTTACCTCATTAGCCTGAAACTTCATTACTGCTGCTGGAAACAGCCAGTGGTGAGAGTGGTTTCACAGCACTTTTGTAACTATAATTGTAATTCCTTAGCTAATTCCTCAGCTATTCCAGTCACTGCTCTCATGCCCTTCCCGTTTGGTGTGTTCTCTGGCTGTAGGTCTCTCAGGTGGAAACCAAACACAACTCTGCAATCCTGTCCCAGCTGGAGCCGTGGACGTGCTATTGTGTCCAGGTGCAGGTGGTGATTCCCGGGTGGAACAAGACAGGGGAGCTGAGCAGGGAGCTGTGTGAGGAGACCACCCACAACGGTAATGCCTGGGGCAGCACAGAGGGAGCTGGAAATCATGGAATTACACACGGGGTGGGGCTGGGTTGGGAGGGACAGGAAGGCCCATCTCATTCTCCACCAGCCCAGGTTGCTCCAAGCCCCGTCCAGCCTGGCCTTGGACACTCCCAGGGATCCAGGGGCATTCCATAGGGGAAGTGATAATTTGGAAGTAATTCCTCAGAAATGGATAAGTGCAGTATTAATCGTGTTCCCCTTGTCTCTTGCAGGTGTAACTCCTGTGTGGGTTGTTGTGGCAGTTCTCCTAGGATCCATGTTGGCCGTTGCCACAGCAGTCTCCATTTGTTTCTTCTCCTTTTTTTATCTAATTCGACTCACCAAACATGTTTTCTGCCCTACATATATCTTCCCACAACACTTGAAAGAGGTTTGTTTTCTTCCTAACACATGGAAATCGGCCTTTTCAGCAGAACCATTTGCTTTTAGACCTTCTTTTATTTTGCCCTATTCCATTTGCACCTGGTCTGCAAACTGCAATTTGTAATAAGCAGCTCTATATGGCTCAGAAACAGGATGTTTTCATTCATTTTAACGTGAGAGAATGACAGGTGTTGACTTCAGTTCCTCATTTAACTAGTGAGCCACTGAGATCTCTGTCTCTCCTGTCTCATTTTAGGCTTAGAATAGCACGTTTGTTCTCCTGTCACAGGTGCAGTAACGAGTTTTAACTTCAGCAAAGAGTGCAGGGAAGTAAACCTGGGGCAGGCCACGCGTACCAGAGACACCTGGGCTGGGGAAGGTGGCCCTGCCCGTGGCAGGCGGTGCAAGTGGAGGAGCTTTAAGGTCCCTTCCAACCCAAACCATTCTGGCACTCTCTGATCCTCTGACGTCTGGAAATTCCAGATGAAAGGAGGCAGTGAACGTTCACCTGGCCACTGACCCTGTTACACACAGAGAACACAAAAGGGCTGCAGCAGAACCTTTCCAAGAAACAGGGATGTGCAGAGTTGCTGCCTGCGCTGCTCTCGTTCCAGCCTGGGCTCTCCTGAGGTTCCTGCAGCTCACTCAGGACTGGGCTGGTGCTTCAGGCTGAGCACCCACTCAGCACTCAGGAGTTTCATGGAATCCTGGAATCCAGAACAGTTTGGGTTGGGAGGGACCTTAAAGCTCATCCATCCCAATCCCTTCCATGGGCAGGGACACCTTCCACCAGCCCAAGCCTCATCCAACCTGGCCTTGGGCACTTCCAGGGATCCAGGGGCAGCCACAGCTTCTCTGGGAATTCTATTCCAGCCTCTCCCCACCCTCCCAGGGAAGAATTCCTTCCCAATGTCCCATCTCACCCTGCCCTCTGGCAGTGGGAAGCTGTTCCATTGTCCTGTCCCTCCATCCCTTGTGCAGAGCCCTGCAGTTTGCTGAAGCTGGAGCTCAGCTCTTGGGCTGACAGCTCTGCTCTGACCAAAACAGGATGTGGGGAAATTTCCTTTGCTCACACGTTGCTCTAAAGAAAGGGAGGATTTTCATGTTGTGCTGTAGTGGCCAATCCCAGGAACCAGAGGTCAGTTGCACCGAAAATGTGTTTCATCCAAGGCAGTGTTTTCACTGCATGAATGTTTGTGATTGCAGGTTAGTGCCAGAACATTTCAAATCACAGTGTGCTAGAAAAATCTAGTAGTCCAATAGTAATAATACCCGTGTTTATTTTTTGAATTACACTGAACGGGGTTCCTGATAGAGCAGCTTGTTTCTTGTGCAAAATTCAACTCAGAATTACTGCTTCTTAGGGCCACCAAGATGATCAGGGGGATGGAGCCCCTCTGCTCTGAGGAAAGGCTGAGAGAATTGAGATTATTCAGCCTGGGGAAGAGAAGGTTCCAGGGAGACCTGAGGGCCCCTTGCAGGGCCTAAAGGGGCTCCAGGAGAGCTGGAGAGGGACTGGGGACAAGGGATAGAGGGACAGGACACAGGGAATGGCTTCCCACTGCCAGAGGGCAGGGACAGATGGGAGATTGGGAAGGAATTGCTGGCTGGGAGGGTGGGCAGGCCCTGGCACAGGTTGGGCAGAGAAGCTGTGGCTGCCCCTGGATCCCTGGAAGTGTCCCAGGCCAGGTTGGACGGGGCTTGGAGCACCCTGTGCTGGTGGAAGGTGTCCCTGCCCATGGCAGGATGATGGATGAGCATTAAGGTGCCTCCCAACCCAAAGCAGTCTGGGATCCTGGGATTGTGTACAGGGCAGGAACAGGCAGGGCCAGCTCCCAGGAGCCAAGCACAGCCCTGCTCCTGCAGTGCCATGGCACACCTCAGCCCCTGGTGGAGCTCAGGCTGTTCCAGCCTGCCCCAAAGCAGGCAGTGGGAGGATTTGTCATCTTTAAGTACCAAAGTGAAGTCATTTTCTCACTGAACTCCGTGGCCCTGCACATCCCCCTCCCTCACCTTTGCCAAAAGGGTTGTTGTTCAAGGTGACATTTAAAGCGTCACTCTGATGTCTCTGCTCTCTGAGGTGGCACCCACAAGTCACATTTCTGGGAGTTATTTAACAAATCTCCCTGTGAGCTCCTTCCCCTACGGACAAATCACAGTTTTTAGTGTTTGTTTCAAATCAAACTTGGTATTTGACTTTTTCCAAGAGGTTTCTATCCCAAAGAAGTCACTCACCCCTGGGGTTATTCTTCCAAATAAGGGCACTTCCAGTTTGCTCCCAAGCCTGGAACAGGATGTTAGAAAGGATATAACACTGTTGCCCCTCTGGGACTTGTGGGGATTGAGAAAACCAGTTAATGTGTGGAAAACAATATCTGTGGTTTAACAGTAGCAGGATTTTTAAGCAAACGGGATGGTCCAGCCAGTGCAACCTAATTCTCATTTCCTCTTTCTTCCACAGTTCCTGAGCAAATCTCCCAGTGCTCCACAGCCCTTCTTTCCGCTTCCACAAGAAGAGCATCTTCTTTATGACAAGCTGACTGTCATTCCAGGAGATTCCCAGAATGCCAGGGATGAGGCTGAGGATGAGTCCGAGACACCGGAGCACCCTCAGGGCTCTGAGCAAGGAGATTCCGACTCAGGAGTGGGAACAGCTTCAGGGAAGACCTAAATGCTGCCTTGGAGAAGGAAACAAAGGGACTGCTGGGTTTATCTCCTCATTGCTCCTTTCTTCTGACAGTGAAAACCCACAGACAAAGATGACCATGAGCACAGACAGAATAATTTTATTTGTTTTTTCAAGTACAAGGAACTTGGCTGTAAATGAGGAACTAAACAATACACAATTTTTGCCACTGCTGGTTGTGGCTCCCTAAGGAGTTGTGGCAATACCTGGCACTGATTATGACATTAAAAAGCAATTTTCATATATATATATATATAAAATACTAGTTAACTCTGATGAACTATTTATTGCAAAAACTAAGAAAAAATATTTGTAAAAGAAAAGCATATTTTGTAAAGAAAGACCTGATTTATTTTTTCTAATGAAAAACTGTATGAGTTTTTAAGGATGTCCCAGGAGGCATCATCCTTCTATTGAATTGTGTTCTACCTGCTGCAAAATTGCGAAGTTTTTAGGATGGGATGAACTGAAGTCTGTGGAAAACTTGGCAGCTAAAGGGGGAGTTAAATTAGGTTTTATTTATATATTGATGTGTTTTCTTAATTAAAAAAAATGTTGATCTGGGGAGCTGGGACTTCCTGGACACAAACCAGCCTCACCTGCCCAGGGTTATAGCCAAGGTTATATAAATGTTTACATAAAGGTGATACCCAGCACTGGGGCAGAGAGTGGCATTAACTGGGGTTTGTGTGTTATTGCCTCAAAATGAGCGTGAAAAATTAAAATCTGTCAGCAGAAGGAACTTACCATGAGTGAAGTGTGTCTGGGTCACTCCTCCAAGGGTGCAAGTCCTGGAAGTGTCCAAGGCCAGGCTCTCAGGATGCTGCTTCCTCTTCCAGCACAGCCAGCCCTGTGGGACAGGGAGGATTTGTCCCCACACTTGGGGTGTTTGACTTGTCTTTGGTGAGGAACGGGGGGTCTGTTAAAGCAAGGGGGCTGAAGGTCATGTGAGCTCATCTCTAACCTCCTGTGTCATCCCCAGAAAGCCTTCAGAGGGTGAATTCCAAAATGGATTGGAATCAACCTGGAGAAGAGAAGGCCCTGGGGAGCCCTTGGAGCCCTTCCAGCCCTTTCCCAGAGCAGGGACACCTTCCACTGGCCCAGTTTGCTCAGAATCCCATCCAGCCTTGCCTTCAGCACCTCCAGGGATTCAGAGCTCCTAAAAGCAGTCCTGATGTTTTTCTTCAGGCTGACCTGCAGTCAGTTTGATTTGCTTCAGAAGCCTTCTTGTCCCCAAGCAAGTCCTTCCAGGAAATCCTCTGCAGGTGAGAGGCCTCTTCTCCAGCCCCAGCTTCCCTGAGAGGCACGAAGGAGGCTGGGGACAAGGTGGCCTCTGGTTGTGCCCACACGGGCTGTGTGGCCCCACAGGCCCCCCTGGTGCCTCTTCAGAGGACAATAAGTTAGAGGAGAGTTAATCCTGAGCTGAGCTTGTGGAAACCACGATGGCAATGGATCAATAGACCAGGTGAACTGTGTCAGGGTTTAAACAGTGCAGGTGGAAGCTGCTCCCTCTGGCATGGAGGGTCCTGGCGAAGGGAGGAGGAAAACAGACCAATCTGAAGACCTGGGAGTTACTGGAAAGCCATTTCCAAATGTATCTGCTGAATTGCAGAGCAGAGAAGAATGGTTAAGGAAGAGGGAGATGGGAAAAACTGGGAGAGAAGTCTGGGCTTGTGGAGAGCAAAACAGATCCTAGAGGAGGGCAGTGAGGGAAGGCAGGGGGGGAAGGAACAGTTCAGCCAGTTCCAGCCAAGGGAGGGGAGGGAGAACTTCAGGGACAAAGAGAAACCAGAGCCCAGGACCAAGCAAGGGACCAGGGCCACCCTCCAGCTCCACATCCTTTACCTCTCCATATTGGTAACTTCGGTGTCCTCCCTGCCCAGCAGGTCCTGGAGATGCTGGGAAAGGCTGGCTGGCTGCCAAGACAAATCCAGGAGTCCCACTGAGCAGCAGAGCCAGAAAGGCTTTCAGAAATACCCATCACGAGCTGTAGAAACGGCTTTTAAATTGCTTCTTAACCAGAAGTTCAGGGTAAGGATTTGTGGTAGCGATTCATGCCTTTTTTCCTGGGGGGGGGTTGGACAACAGCCATTAATTACTTGGCAAAATGGCATTTTCTCGGATTCTACAGTTATTGAATAAGTGCAGAGGCTCCTTCCCTTGATCCTGTGCTGCTGTGAAAAGAAAGGTGGGAAGAGCTGTTTTCCAGGAAGAACTGGGAATAACCCCCTTGCAGAGGAAAGCCCACTCCAGCAGCAGGACCTGCATCGGGGACACTGGGATTTCACCCTGGAGAAAGCACCAGAGCAGAGAATGAGTTTAATGACTCCCAGTTCTTCCATTTTCCCATCACTCAAACCTCACCTCTGATTTCTATTCCCTTCTCTCTGCTCCTCTTGTTTATGTGACGCTCTTTGAAACCACACTGGAAGTTCCTCAGAGCAGGGACTTTCTTTTCCAGTCTCTGTGAGGAACGTGGTGACAAAGATGATTGAATCACACCAGGAGCTTTGCACAGGGGCTGGATTTTCAGCCCTGCTGACCTACAGGTGAACCCAGGCCCTGGAACTCCCCCAGCAGAGCACAGCTTGCTGACCATAATGGAATTTCAGTCTGGAGAAGAGAAGAACCCAGGGAGACCTGAGAGCCCCTCCCAGTGGCCTAAGGGGCTCCAGGAGAGCCCCTTGAGACAAGGGCTGGAGGGACAGGACAAGGGGAATGGCTTTAAGCTGAAAGAGAACAGATTTAGATGGGATATTGGGAAGGAATTGCTGGCTGGGAGGGTGGGCAGGCCCTGGCACAGGTTGGGCAGAGAAGCTGTGGCTGCCCCTGGATCCCTGGGAGTGTCCCAGGCCAGGTTGGACGGGGCTTGGAGCAGCCTGGGCTGGTGGAAGGTGTCCCTGCCCATGGCAGGGGTGGAATTAAATGATCTTTAAGGTCCCTCCCAAGCCAAGCATTCTCTGAGTCTATGACTATAAATATTATCTATGAAGATGAAATTTGAAGATACATTCCAATGAAGCATTTTGAAGGTATCAGGTAGGTCTCCACAGGCTGTAAAAAGATTGGTGACAGGCTCTGCACATTCTTCCAGCCTGTTTGCTGCAAATTCTGGCACCTCTGTCCTTCAAAACCTCATCACAGGATCACGAAGGCTGGAAAGGCCCTTCAGGATCATCCACCGTCCTCCAGCACCACTGGAGTCACCTCTAATCCACGTCCCCAAGGGCCACATCCAGACACCTCTGAACACAGAGACAGGGACTCCTCCACCTCCCTGGGCAACTTATTCCGATGCCTGACCAGAAAGATAATCCTTCCTGCTCTTCAGCACAGGTAAGGCCTGTGGAGAGCTGGGCCCAGTGCTGGGAACAGTCCTGGGAGGACAAGAAACACTCTCTGTGAAGGCAGATGATCTTGTGTGGGCTGGGAAAGGAAGTCTGAGGGCATCATAATGTGACAGGCTC